CAATGTATGTTGCCAAGGATGCTTTGATGACTCGCATGTTCTTCCGAGGCCCCCACAACGACGCGCAGAAGTTATCGGTCTACCTTAAGTTTCTTCGGGCTGTTCGGGATGGCAAGTCTTGGGACATTCGGAGGTGTATCCAGGCTATTCCTCATCTTAGTCTACATGTTCATGCTGATGAATGTTGTTTTAGAGATTCGGTGTCATTTTATCGTGAAATGGCCGAGCTTCAGCACTCTCTTCTCCAGCGAGAAATTCGCGAACACGTCGAAGGCGGCGGACCCCCCGACGACGATCGAGGCCTCAGGTTGCACCAGCTTCTGCGACAGTGGTCTCCCAAAAGGCGCCGTATTGTTCTGGTTTCCGTCCCCGACCCCACCGGATGCCCTTCGCCTGACCTGGAGGTCAGTGCTCAGAATCTTGCGTCGCACTGGGGGCGGGCCCATGCCGCGAAGCCTCAGGACCGGGGATACCACTTCCAGAAGACACTGTTGAGCAGTGAGATTCAGCAGGTTGCCCCAGGTATCGAGTGGACGCTCGACCTGCATAGCTTCATAGGTAAGCTCGTCGGCCGCAAGGACAGCGCGACTGGCCCCGACGGCATCCCATACAGTGCATGGCGGTTCGCTGGCGACGCCGCTCACAATGCTTTGTATCAAGTTTATCTCGCTATTTTGGACAATCCTACATATGGGCCCCCACATAAAGGCTTCAACGAGTCCCTCACGGTGTACCTCCCAAAGGCCATCCACCCGCACGAAGCTGGAACCTCTGAGATCTCTCGGGAAGCGTCTGTGGTTCGCCCTATTGCCCTCAGCAATACTGATAACAAAATAGTATCCTTGGCCATATGCGAACCATTTAGCCAGCAATGCCAGTACAGCGTCCTAGGCTCCCAGACGGGCTTCGTGCGCAAGAGGTCTATGCTCGACAACTTGCTCTGCCTTGAGGCAGACATTCTTGAATATGCCTGCTATCGTGGCATGCCGCACGCAGGACTGCTCCTCTTGGATTTCCGCGCCGCGTTCCCGTCGCTGCGCCACGACTGGATCATAGATGTGTTAATCATGATGAATATTCCCATGTATATCGTGAATGCCATTCGGTTCCTATACACAGGCATCTACACACACATATGCCTAGCAGGCAAAAAGTTTCCAGGCTACTCGATCACCCAAGGCATTAAACAAGGATGTCCACTGTCGGGTGCATTATTTGCATTATGCATCGACCCGCTGCTGCGCCGATTATCTAACTTGCTAGCTCCAGTTTGTGCTTCACCCCGTGCCTTTGCAGATGACATCCAGATCTCGGCATCCAACCTGTTGCTAGCTGTTCCGATTGTGCTGAAGAATGTTATTAGGTCCAGCCGATGTACTGGCCTGCTCTTGAACCTTGCCAAGTGTATGATCGTGCACACGCAAGAGATGCCAGATGACCAGCATTTCGCCTTATTCGAAACTGTTCGCACTAACGTTCGCTCGCTCATGCACGGCACCAGTGGCAAAGTCTTGGGCGTTTTCCTGGGCCCTGGTGGTTACAAGAAATCCTGGTCCGCTCCGCTTCAGAAATATATTTGTCGGGTCCGTCATGTTTGGTCGCTTCGTCTTGGGCTTACTCAGAGTATTTATGCCTACAATTCCCTGGCCTTCTCGGTCCTCACCTTCGCGATGCAGCTATGTTACATATCGCAGGATGCGCTTCGCATGGAAACAAAAGGATTGCAGACTCTCACCGCGTGCCCGTTCTACAGCATTCCTACTGATCTCCTCCGCAATCTCTCGTCGGCGCTGCATTGGCCCATTGCCCCGCGCAATCTCGTGCTGGAGAATCAGGCTGCCATGTATCGGGTCGCTGTTCGATCCAAGGTTTTTGACAGCATTCGGAGGCGATTTCACGAGCTTGAGGAAGATGACTGGGATGTTCTAATGGTCAAGCGGTTCCCGACATGGCGTGCCGAGTCCATTGTTTTCCATCTGATTCACAACTACGAGCGTCTAACAGCCCTGCCGTGGAACCACTTCGATGAGGACACCCACGAGTTGCAGAAACAGATTTTGAAGAAGTTGATTTCTGAGGCCCCCAGTTGCTCCGCGGTTTTTCTCCTGGGCAATCGAATTCGTTTCGCTTTTCCTCTGGTTAATGCCTCTTGTATCGACCTTGCTGTGCTCAGGCTCAGAATTGCCTGCACGCGTGTCGGCCCTTTTGTGGCTGCTGCCATTCTCAAAACCATCTGCAACGCGTGGGCGACCTCTGCCAGGCATAGGCAAGGCCGTCTTACCTGTCGCTTCGGCTGCCGAGCCGCTGGCGGCGACCACGTCCAGCATTATTTCGATTGCCCTCATGTTCTGAGCCTGCTTCCCTCTGTCCTGCCCTCCCTGCCAGCCGAATATTTGAATCAGAGCCTCGATGCGCGTATGCTGTGCATCATGCCATGCCATTCTAGTCAGCAGTTGTTTTCTTTGTTTCTCGTCCACGACCTGCTCTTTTCCACCTTTAACTCCTTGAGGAGCTCGCACAGGTACGGGCCCGAATGCCTGCTGCCTCTCCTGCGCGCCCGCGCCCGGCACATCGCCAAGAAGGGGCGCGTCGTGCGGAGCGTCCTCACCAGGAGGCCCGCTGCAGAAGGCAGCTGAACGGCCCGTCTCTCTGACTCGCCCAGGGGAGTGCGATCATCATCATCATCATCATCATCATATCATCATCATCATCATCATCATCATCATCATCATCATCATCATCATCGTGTGTACCGTCGTCGGCGTCGCCATGGGCCCGAGTCACCAACTCGCACTGAAGTGCCCGTTGGGAAGTCCCCAGCGGTCAGCGCCACCGCGGCCACGTTGGTCGCGCCAATTTAGCTGGCCGCTCTGCGCGCGAGCCCGCGCGCTTTAGCGCGGCCGCAGGGGTGCACCAGCGAATTTCCAGCAGTCATCACAATCGCCGCCGCATGGGTTTTGCAAACCAAGTTGCGGGTGGGAGGGTGGGATGATTGCGCGAGGAATGGAGTTGACAATGTCAATTTCTTCTGGGTGACTTGCGCCACGTAGAATCACATGTAGTTGTATACGTGTGCGGCACAACATGCATTACTAAAAACACTGTGTTGGGACCACGCTTGTATTCCCCAGTCGGGCGTGCCTAAAGGATTCTTATTCGGTTACAGATAGGTATTTCGGTGTGCTACTTTGCCCTTTCCCCGGAGATTCCCCAGGTTCCTCGGAGATTCCCCAGGTTCCTCGGGTTCCCGAATTCCCCGGGTTCCCAGGATTCCTCGGGTTCCGCGGGTTCCTCTGGTTTTTCAGGTCCTTCGGGTTCCATGGGTTCTTCGGGTTTCTCGGGTTCCCGAGGTCCTTCGGGTTCCCCCGGTTTCTCGGCAATGCCATGCAATGTCAAGCAGTGCCAACCCACGCAAATCAAAGCCAAACAATGCTAAGCAATGCCAGCCCATGCCAACCCATGCCAACCCATGCCATGCCAAGCAATGCCAAGCGATACCGGGCAATGCCAAGCAATGCCAATCAATGCCAAGCAACGCCAAGCAATGCAAAACAATGCCAAGTAACGTCAAACAGTGCCAAGCGATGCCAAACAATTCCAAGCAATGCCAACCCATGTCAAGCAATGCCCAGCGATGCGCCCAGCGACGCGCCCATGCAATAGGGTTTCGACTGATTGGGATCGCGCCGGCTTCATTCTCAGATTCATAGAATGAGATATTGGGTTCACGACCGGCCGAGATATCGATTTTGCCAAGGCCTTACGGCTGGTGCCGCCGACCTTGGACGATGATCCCCACGATGGAAGAGGCATTCGGGAAGGTAGGGATCAGACGCTCCCACTCGTGCCCAAGAGGCTTCACGAGGTCCCCAAGAGGTTCCCAGTAACTCCCGCGAGGCTTGGGGGATGTCTTGGGAGCCTCCTGGGAGCCTCCTGCGGTCTCCTGGCGGTTCCTTCTGGGCGCCCGGGAGCCTCGTGGGTGACCCAAGGACCCGCCCTGCACCCACTCGCACCTCTCCTGGAACCCCGAACCCCCCCCTCGGCGGGGAAGGGATCGAAAGGAAGAGGCTTCCCTTTTACGGTAGGTCCGCGTCGTGTCGACCGGCGGCGACCCCGCAGCGGGCGTTCAAGGTTGAACGCCGCCAGTGGCCCAGAGTCGTCCTACATATGGAGCGATTTGGCGATCAAACAGCCGCCGATCGTGAACGGTTGAACCATCCGCGCGATGTCAGAAACCAACGCTGGGGCCGTCACGACACGAGCCCGCCGCACTCCACTGCGGCGCTGCTCCACTTCGCTCGGGCTGCTCCGATTGTCGGCCGGCGCGCTCATGGAGAAGGGCCTCAGGGAAGAGAAGAGACCAGAGACGACGACGACGACGACGACGACGACGACGACGACGACGACGACGACGACGACGACGACGGCGGCGGCGGCGGCGGCGGCGGCGACGACGACGACGACGACGACGACGACGAAACAGCTTCTCGCACACTCCGACAGGGTCGGCGGGACAACCAGAGGACAGCCACGGGCCATACGCGGGACAACCGCAGTGCACAATCGCATTGGACAGCTACAACGCAACCTCACAAGCAACCACCAAACAGTAATGAGACAACCGCACGGGGAAACCTTGGGACAACCACGGGGCAGCCGTTGGACACCGATGAAACAACCGCGTGGAACCATCATGGAACATTCGCGGGGGAACCCCGCATCATTGCCTGAGCCTAAAACTTGAAGCAACATTGTCGGAATTGGCCCTGACTTTTGCCGTATATCGCTTCTCGCCCGCTCGCCCAGATTCGCCCACTATCACGCACAGTGCGAGACTGACGTAACCCAGTCCGAAACCGATTCCCTGTTTGGTCGCACCCTCCGCCACCCACACAGTAAGAATAGGTATTCGGGCTGTCACTCGCGAGTGCAGAAAAGACGAGGCAGCCGAGGCCAGTCCACTGCGTGCCGAAGGCATGGTAGCGGATTCGTTTTTCTACATGCCGTGCATGGAGCACTCCAGCATTCCAGCAGGCTTCGCGTTCGTGAACTTCGCCTCGCCGCAAGACGTGCACACCCTCTGCGGCGCGGTGGTGCGCGGGCTGTGGCGGGAAGTGTGCCGCAAGTCCCCGAAGAGCCCGCCGTCCGTCAGCTACGCCCGCTTCCAGGGCCACGTCGACCTGGTGCAGCACTTCAGCGTCTCGGCCGTGCTGCAGGAGCAGGACCCCGAGAGGCGCCCGATTTTCCGGCCGGAGGTGCTCCTTTCTTCGGCCAGCGTCGCTGGCCCGAGCACGGCCAGGAAGGTCTTGAGCACGTGCGGCCCGCCAGGTTTAGCAGACGATGCCGAGGTCTCCAACCTCGCCGACCCAGCGGTGAAGGAGCAGGCACCGGGAGTGCCGGCAAGCAAGCACATGCAGGAGTCGTCGGCGGTGGCGCTCCTGCGCGAGAAGTCGCGTGACACAATGCAGGCGGAATCCGAGGAGGAAACCTATTCCAAGGAGAATGAGCGTCTTGCCTTCGAGGACAAGTATACTGCCAAGGAAGTCTCAATGCCCGATGACTCGGATAGCATCTATATAAACGGTACCATGATCAGTCTCTGATGAGTTACATAGGAGACAAGGGGTCTGAGGCGATACCTTCGTATGGGGTAGGCGCCTGAACGTACAGGAGCGTGGCGTCATGCATCCACTTGCGCATCCGCACCCACTTGCGCGTGCGAGCGAATAATCTATTTGTTACTTTCGGTCAGAGCACCGGCACCACGACCAAGCAGCGTTCTGTTGCTTTTTCCGACCGATAGGCAGCGCTTTTCTGCTGGCTGGTTCGGATGAGCTTGCCTGCCAAGCAGCATCAGTCGGGGGTGGACAGACCTCCTACCCTGACATGTCGATTAAGGAATTGGCCGCTTTCGGTTCGCGAGAGGGCGTCGCGGCCGTCGTTTTTGTGGGTCCAGGTCCGTCGGTTTCGGTCCCAGGCCGTTGTCACTAAGGAGAGGTTTACGAAAGGGAGGTTCCTCCACCGCCGAATCAGCTTGCAGCCAGGCCCAAGCCTTGGGAGAGCGTCCCGACGTCTTGCGGGACAGATCTCGTACCGGCCTCTCGAACGCCCACGCATGGCCCGTGGCGGCGCTTGCGAGGGGAAGGGGTCGTGGGGGGTGGCCTCCTGCGACGGCTGGCTGTTTCATAGAGGCCACTGCGTTTCCTGTCGAGGGCTTGGCATCGCTCGGACGTGTGCATTGTTTCCTCGGCGAGGGCCATCGAAGAGCATCCCGGATCATCGAGCAAGAAGAACACGCACAAAACCGAATGACGCATAGGGAATGGACGTCCGAGCGACGGCAAGAGGGTGGGGAGGCTCATGCAGGCCACTGCGCCTCCGAAGGAGCTTCCCTAGGAGCCCTCGAGCTCTTCTCACCCACCCACCCTGGCCGCTAGTGAGCGCGCCCAGTGCATTCCGCCCTCGACTGCGTCCCGGCCGCTCGTGAGCGCGCCCAGTGCATTCCGCCTTCGACCGCGTGCCTGTAGAATTCGTTGGCGCGTGCACGCAGTCCTCCCCCCTCGCCCGCGGCATCCGCGGCCCCCCGCTCCAGAGCGGAGCTGACCGCACTTCTCCGCCCATTCCTTCTTGACCCCCCCAGGCTGCGCGCTACATTCGTGAGTGCAGATTCGCGCGACGACCTTTTCGGCTTGTGCCCGCAGGTCTTCCTCCGGTTTGGCCCGGAGGGTCGCGGCAGGTAAGTCTCGCGAAAGCGAATTTTCGATGATCTTGTCGATTTCCGCAACGTGCAAGTGCATTTTTTTGCTTCCTCCAGAGCGGCCCGAACGACAGACGTGGTTGCATTTTGCGCGAGGGCAGATTCGCGACGACATTGTCGGTTTCCGCCCAGTGCTTTCTTCGGCCCGAGCGTCCCGTGGGACGTGCGAAGGGTCAGTCCAGTGCGTTCGGGGCTTCGTTGCACCCGATATTCGCATCTGGCATTGTAAAACCGCCAGCTATCATCGATCCCTGGTTCGAGAGTTCGACGAAGGAAACAGCATAAGCGTAAAATGTTGGCGCTCCGCGCTGGCTCTCGAATCGGCACCAGGCTCACCTGGCGGCGCTTCCGGAGCTGCCCGCGCGCCAGGGACGGGGCCCCCAGCGTAGATCCAAGAAGTCCGCGCGGAACTCCGATCATTTAAGTGTATGCTGTTTTTTTCTGTTCGTCAAAATGCCATCGAGATATCATCCTAATAGCACGATGAAGACGCGGCATCAGGGATAATGAGTCTGGGCGGTTTTTGGCTTCGTACGTCTGCAGAAGAGACCCCCTATCCCTGATGTTCCTGGCCCTCCTGATTTAGGCCCCCTCACAAAGGGTTAGGGATCTCTTTGTGGTTGATTCAGATCGCCTCGCCTACTTGGCCCAAAACTTCGGTAGCAATTCATGGGAGCTTCGTGTACCTTCGTGATTTTGTCTTTGGCGTCGACTCGCGTCGACCAGCGCCTGGCAGTCGAAAAGAGAGCGCCGACGTGGCGTCCGTCAGCGTCGATCAGCGTCGATGCAGCATCGATTCGCGTCAATTTAGCGTCGACGAGCATCGACTCGCAAGAGCCGACACGACGGTATGGGAGGCTCATGTGAGTTGCCACCGGACAGAGTTAAGTCGGGCCTGTCCCTCTACATGGGGGATGTTCAAAAATAGTAAAGGGACGATGTTTTTTTTTTGTTTGGACCATTTGGGGGTATCTTTCGGTATTTTTCATTTTCATTCAAAATCCCCCTGTAGGGGGACATGCCCGACCTAAGAACAGAGCCGGCGGCCTGCTTGACTCCCGTTTCGGCCAGGCGTTGCCGGCCCGCCGGGCGCGGGGCCCGCGGGCCCCCCCCCACTCGCCCCCTCGGGGGGGGTCTCTCTCTGGCAGCAGAAAGGAGGAGGAAGAGGAGGAGGAGGAGGACCAGTGCAAACCCAAGAGGCATCAACGATGTTGGCACAAACCCTCCCTCTGGACTCCCTCTCCATGGGCCCCTGCAGCAGTTCATTTCCATTGAGGGGACTGCCTCGTTCGAAGGCAGCCGCTCGAAGATCCTGAAGCATGCCAGAATATGGTTCTCGGGATTCCAGCACCACGGATGAACCTGACTGTTGCGTCTTGACGGTCCTGAATCGTTCCAGAACGCCGTTCCTGGGATTTCAACCATTTGTTTACAAGAGTGTGCGCCGCGCTGAGGCGAGAGCCACACTTTGAAAACGACCCGCCCTCAACCCGTGAAACTCTTGCACATGTTTGAGAAGAATGCGTTCGCTGGGCTAAGGATGTGCGCCGCGCTAAGGCAAGAGTCACATGTTGAAAACCATCCGCCCTCCATCTGCGGAACTGTTGCCAGATCTTAAGCTTCAGAGTCATAGGTGGTCAGGAAGTCTCGGGCGGAACGCCCAGACCGCCCTAAAAGCAGGCCTCGGGGCGCGACAGGGAGTGATTATATGTATAGGGAAAAGGAATGGAGGCGGAGGAGGAGGAGGAGGAGGAGGAGGAGGAGGAGGAGGAGGAGGAGGAGGAGGAGGCCCTCCAGGGGGGGCGGGGCCTCCGAGCGGTAATTTGTCATGGGAGGTTGCCCCGAATTCGGCTCTCGCGAGGGTGGGTGCGGTGTTCGCGACGCGTACGGCCGTGGCACACATCCCCCCTCGAGATCAAACGCAAGTTATTTTCCCGCGACGTGGCGACGCTCCAGGATCGGGCCGGACAAAAGGGGGGGATTGGGAAAGGGGGGGTTACGAAATTTGCTGCATGCAGCTGGTTTCGGCCTCACCGAGGGGCCCATTCCTCGATACATGGCCGCCTCCGGCGCCGGGAGGCGCCGGGAAAATCAGCTACGTGAGCTGATTCTCAAACCCCCCCTTTGCTATCCCCCCCTTTTGCCCGACCCGACAGGACCCAAAGTCTCAATGCTCGTGCCGAAATCGGCGATCGCAAGCACAAACATACGACCCCGTGAGTCGCGTCTCGCGCGTCGACCAGTATTCAAAACTTGACTTTCTGATTTCGAGCAGGTTTGTAGGGTCGCCCCTGGACAGCACTGAAGAAACCTCGCCAGACAGCGGAGGGGCATCCTAGCACGCTCCAGCGCACACACACACACTGCAGGGCGGCTCGCTTCCAAGGCGCAGGGGATGCGGGAGGGGTCGTCTGCACCTCCTGCCCCGCCACGTGCTCGGCACCGCTCGGGCGTGCGCATCTTTCCTTCGGCGAGGACCGTCGAGGAGCCCCCTTTGATCATTTGGCGAAAAACAGCCACGCACGATACCAAACAAAAACACACACACATGGCATGGACGCCCGAGCGATGGCCGGCGTGGGGCTCACCCCTCTTCGAGGTGCTCGCTCGAGGGCCGAGGCCCTCCACCACAGCCAGGCGCCGCAGCGCGGCGCCGTCGCCGGCAGACCCTCCCTGTGCATCTCCTCCTCCTCCTCCTCCTCCTTCTCCTCCTCCCCCTCCTCCCCCTCCTCCTCCTCCTCCTCCTCCTCCTCCTCCTCCTCCTCCTCCTCCTCCCCCTCCTCCTCCTCGTCCTCCTCCTCCCCCTCATCTTCCGACGCCTGGGCATCTGTGTATCTGCAGCCTCGTCGCGCGGGGCCGGTCTCGAAGAGGCTCTCCTCGTGGGGGCCGTCCCGCTCTGCCCCTCGGCGGCACGGATGGCTTCGGACGGGGCGCCTGCTCCCACCTGCAGGAGCGCGTGGTCGAGCTCAAGAGGCTGCTCTGATGGTTCCGCGATCGCCTCGGCGCACGTCGGCCCTCGCTTCAGCTCCGCCGTCGGGATATATACGCCCTCCCCCCCGATCTCCAAGACGGTGTCGTGCGCGGGCTGATTGAGCAAGAGGAGCGCGTCGTCGAGCCACGAGTGCATCATCCGATGCCGGATTCGGGTCCGCCGAAGGGCAGCAGGCGGCACTGGCTCGGCACATTGTGCGAGTGCGGCGTAGCGCTGCGTGGCAACACAGCGAGCGTCTCCTCATGTCTCCTCCTTCCCCTCGGCTCTCTTTGCGTAACGGGCTGTGGACGTGGGGGGGGCCGCGAGCAACCGCTCAGTACCAGCTGCTCGTCGATTTTGGGACGGCGACAGGAGCCGTGTCATTCCAGGGAGCTTGCCTTGAGAACTCGCGTCGTCCTGACCCCCGGCGCCTGAGGGAATAGGCCCGCCAACCGCTCCTTCCGGGAAATCCGGGAAATCTGGGACATCATGGCGACGCATTCCAAACCGTCCAAACCGGCGCCCTCGCGAGGGACATCTTTAGAACAACACCGGTCCCCCGAGCCTTTCCAAGGATGCCCTCAGATGGCCTCCCTGGGCTGCTGTTTCCAGGAAATCCGGGAAACCCGGTGACGAATTCCAAACCGGCGCCTTTGCGTGGGACATCCTCCGAAAACGGGCCCACCGAGCCTCCCCAAGGAGGCCTCAGGGGCCCCTTTGTTCCGTTTAGAAGTCCGGGGAAATCTGGCGACGAATTCCAAATCGGCGCCATCGCGAGGGAAATCGTCAGGCTCCCCGAGTCCGCAGGAGGCGGAAAAGGGGGAGGAGGGGGAGGAGGAGAGTTGGAGGAGGAGGAGTAGGAGTAGGAGTAGGAGTAGGAGTAGGAGTAGGAGTCAAGCTAGCCAGCTCGAGCGAGTCAAGCATGGCATGCCCAGTCCCACCCGCCCTCCCACAACATAAGAAGCAAAGCTTGCACAACTGGGGGCCGAAGTCACACCGGCCAGCCGGTTTGGTACAGCTGATGCGGCCGCGATGGCGGTTGCCGACGGGAACTGGCGAGCGCGTGTTGAATGCCGCGCACGCATTGCCAGACGAGTCGAGAATGGCCCGGTACACCGCAGGAAGCCAGAGGTGGCCGTGTCGAGAACGGCCCGGTAAGCCGGGTCCCATTCCTGCCATGCATTTTGCGACGTGGACGACAGGACGTCCATGCGACGGTGCCAATGACGGCGACGACTCTAGAAGGATTTGAGCATGCGCTCGCGGCGACGCGCGCGCATGTCGCCCGCGTGGTATTTTTTGCACAGGATTCGCGGCCTGGGTGCATGACAGAGCATCGCGAGTGCACCGCGCGATGACGTGAAATCGCTGGATTTGACCGAATTCTTAAGATTCCTATGGTTTTCCTATGATTTCAGCAAGAGAGCCCGGGCAGGAAATTTGTACAATTTTTGTGAAAAAGCATTGGGTTTTTGATGTTTTTATGTTGAAATGCTTGCAAACACACGGTGTTCGGTAGGATTCTGACATGAACGCGCGCGTGTGCTCTTTGTGGTATTTTTTGCAATGGATTATCGCCGTGGACGACAGGACGTCCATGTCGAGAGGAAAAAATAAGAAAAATGTTGATTTTGTATTGTTTTTTACAGGTTAGGATGGGACCACCCGGATGGGGCCCCTATCTGCCGGCCTGAGGGGGGAGTAGGAGTATATTCTAATAAGGAATAAGGAGTAGGAGTAGGAGTAGGGAGGAGGAGAGGAGGGAGGAGGAGAGGAGGGAGGAGGAGGAGGAGGAGGAGGAGGAGGCATGACGCAGCATAGAACGGCGGAGCATCCGAGAACATGAAGACGACTATATGATACCTGGAGAGGGTGATAAAACACCAGCCCTCAGAGAAAACCAAGTGAATGACGTTTTAGTCTGGACGAGCTTGATCCCAGTTGCTGGGTGCCTGCCTTCAGAGAGCCAGTCCCTGGCTCGCCGGAGGGCAGGAGGAGGAGGAGGAGGAGGAGGAGGAGGAGGAGGAGGAGGAGGAGGAGGAGGAGGAGTAGGGGGCGGGGAGGAGGAGGAGGCGGAGCTGGAGGAGGAGGAGGACGAGAGAGGAGGAGGAGGAGGAGGAGGAGGAGGAGGAGGAGGAGGAGGGGCGGGGGAGGAGGAGGAAGAGGAGGAGGAGGAGAGGAGGAGGAGGGAGGAGGAGGAGGAGGAGGAGGAGGAGGAGGAGGAGGTGAAGGGGGAGAAGAAGGACCCACATTCTCCTGATCCTCATCCTCGCGAGAACCGCCCTCCTGATCCTCACCCTCCTCATCCTCGCCCGCTGCACCACCACCTCCCGCTCATTCAAGCGCACGACCCTTGTTCTATATACAGAAACCCCCGATCAACCGCAGAGCGGCGGGCTAGTAAACCCACTTGCCTGAGGTCATGCGGGAGGGCTTCTGTAGATCACCACGCCGTTATTGTGTCCGTCGCATGGCCTGGAAGTCCCAGTCTCGGGCAGGTCGTGTGTGCCGCGCACAAATTGGACAGCCAGTGCTGCGTCAAGCACAACCAAGCCAAGGGGCCATGCCATGGTTGTCGCTAGAACCCATACCGCTGTCTGGGAAGAGGAGGCGGCGGCGGAGGAGGTCGATCGGCACCGGTGTTGTATTGCGATCACGGAAGGCCACTGACAGCTGCTTCGCGTTCGGCAAGTTGCGGCAACCCCTCCGACGACCGGATCGTTTCGAGTCCTTTAGCCCAGACCTCTCGACCCCTTCAGCTGGGACCTGCTCTCCATCCTGAGTCGTTCATTGCCGCTCCTGGGAGCCGAGAGCAGCCTCGAGAGGCCGCAAACGCAACGGCTCTGTATTTCCGAGCCGTTAGAGGTCAGGTCTTCGCCTTGCTCTGCGAGGCTCCAACCTACCTTCTAGCTTTGACCACCACAGGGAGTTCCGAGCACCAAGAGCGTACCGAAACCTGATGGTTTCCACGCGTCGAGCCCTGGGAGGCGATGCTCGTTCGACACCGTTTCGATACTGCTCTGGGTGCCCGAAATTTGTGTCTGGGATGTGGTCCCCAAGTGCGATGGGAGCCACGCACGCCCTGCCTGCGTCCCGCGACCGACGCCGTCGCCGCCGCCTCGGCGCGCACGCACAGAGGAGGAGTAGGAGGAGGAGGAGGCGGACGAGGAGGAGGAGCTCGCTGCGTGACGACGACGACGACGACGACGACGACGACGACGACGACGACGACGACGACGATGACGACGACGACGATCCGATCGCTGCTGCCCCTGCGGGGCTTCGCAGGCCGCTCAAGCAGAGCACGAGGCCCGCCTGGAGTCGGTGCAGGTGGAGCGCCAGCTGCAGAGGGCTGCCGCCCACAAGAGGGTGGAGCAGATTATCCGGAGCCCCCCGCCCGGCGAAGGCCCCTGCCGCGAGTCCGTGCGAGGGGGGCGGCCAAGAGGGGGGTGATGACTAGGGGGGTGGTGGATATCATGGCCAGGCCCATGATATTTCCCCACATTTCATGGCGCCTCTTCTTCTTCCGTTACTTCACTGCCCCCCCCTGGGCTGCGCGCAAGGCGCCGGCCATGTTTTGCGCCCCCCCCTCTTGGACGCCCCCCTCTTGGCCTCCCCGCAGAGGGCTGCCGCCCACAAGAGGGTGCAGCAGATCATCTAGAGCCCCCCGTCTGGCGTTCGGTAGCAAATCATGGGAGCCTGGTTCACCCTTTTAATTTGACTAGCGTCGACTAGCGTCTGGGAGTCGATGAGGTAGTGCTGGGTTCGCGTGGGCTAGCGTCGATTTAGCGTCGATTAGCGTCGATTCGCAAGAGCGGTATGGGAGGCTCCCACGAGTTGCCACCGAGCCGGCGAAAGCCCCCGCCGCGAGTCCCTGCGGAGCCAGCCTCCTCAAGCGCCTTGTCGCAGCGGTGTGTCCACTAGTTGTATAACGGGGAGCATCCTCATCGTCGTCGTCCTCCTCTTCCTTCCCCTCCCCTTCCTCCTCCTCCTCCTCCTCCTCCTCCTCCTCCTCCTCCACCTCCTTCTCCTTTTCCTCCTCCCCATTCCGTTTCCATTTACCCCGCTCGCCGAAACCCCTGAAACGACACAGTAAAACAAAGAAAACTACTTCTGGAGTGAAGCGGGCCTTGGGCCCGACGGACAACGGCTCCGGACGGAGAGATGGTCCTTGGGAGAAAGGCCCCTGGGCCCAGGACCCATTCCCTTCGGGAGCCGCTCGATGTATGCGAAGTGGACCGCCCCAAAGGGTTCCAGGCAGCGGTGGGGACGGCTTCTCCTTTGGAATCTCCTCCCCTTTCTCCTGCAACCTTCGGAGGCCGCAGACGTCTTGGGTCCGCTCTGGAGGCCACTCCCCGTACCACTCGGGGGCGGAAACGAGGGGGGTGATGACTAGGGGGGGGTGGATCATCATGGCGGGAGCCATGATATTTCCTCAGATTTCATGGCGCCTCTTCTTATTTCATTACGTCCCTGGTCCCCCCGCTGGGCCGCGCACATGCCGCCGGTCATGATTTGCACCCCCCCCTCTTGGACGCCCCCCTCTTTGCCGCTCCCGAACCACGTCCCTGGCGCGCGGAGCGCGCCGGAGGCGGCCCTGGAGGCGCAACCAGGGGAGGCAGGAAGACAGGTCCAGCGCCGACCCGATCATCAGCGCGAGCGACTTCTGATGTTTGTGTGATTTCTCATAACGCTGTTTGCGTTGAGGGGTGAGCAGGCAAGAGCAGGAGTCGTGTGGTGGTTGTCAGGGGTTCCAGTCGGTAGGGGTCCTCTCTCTTCTCTGGTTTCTCTTTGTTTTCTGTTCTGCCACAAGCGAGAAACAACAGTTCTGTCGTAATTGCGCTTGGCGGTTTCAGAAACAAAAGCAGCCGTTCTGTCGTAACAGCGCTTGTGGCCGATGGCCGTATCTGCCTGGGTATCCGTCGAGAGCTTGTCCCCAAACGGCCCATACAGCGACGATCTCCCAGCAGGGCTCGGATAATCCCTGCGGGGCCTACGACTTGCCACAGTGGTTTGTCCGCTTGCTGCAAGGGAGACATCATCTTGATTGCCGCACTGTAATTATTTTTGTCTTTTTGACGACATGACTTCTGTTTTGGCCGCACCTGGGTATTAGGGACAGCGGCGACCTGTTCTCCACCAAAGTGCTGCTCCTGCCAGGCGGGTGCACCAAGACGAGGCTCGGGAGGGAATGTTTCATGTGTTCGGAAACACGAAGGGGCGAATCAGTGAGACATCCAAAGAAAATGATGACAGGCTGATTGGCGGGTTGGTTGGTTGGTTGCTTGCTTGCCCGATTGGCAGGTTTATTGGGGGTTGGTTGACTGGTTTGTGGATTGGTTGATTAGTTTGTTGATGTGTCGTTTGGCAAGGCGGCTGGTCGTTTGATTGGTGAGCGAATTGGTTGTTTTGTTGGTTGGCTGGTTGGTTGGTTGATTGGTTCGTTGGTTGGTCGGTGGGTTGGTTGTTTGGTTAGTTGGTTGGTTGGTTGGTTGGTCGTTCGGTTGGTGGGCGGATCGGTTAATTTGTCGGTCGGTCGGTTGGTCGAGCATTACGGATTAAGCTTGATACTACCGCCTAAACCGTAAGCGTAGCACTGCAACTGTACCCCTTCACTAACAACTTAACCCAACCCCTGAGCACGCACCCGAAGCAAAAGCCATACCACCGTAAACCATTGCACGCTGACCCTACGACCCCAATTTTAACACTAGCTGTATAAGCATTCCACCCACGGGAAACACCCGATGCTTAGCCCCGACACCTTGAATCGAAGCCCTGATCCTAAGCTCAAGCGGCATTCCGGAGCTCGGCCTCGTATTGCTCCACCACATTTGCCACGTGCTAGTGCAGGCGGGCGAAACCCCTGGCACGTGGCAGCGCACGAGCGGCAACCATACACTGGGGGCCTATGCCAAGAAACACACTGCTTGCTTCCAGGGTGCCCTGGGTTTCTTGGGTCTCGATGGGTTTGCGGTGGACAGCGCGACGCTCCCACACCGGAAACCAATGGACGTCCTGCGGTCTCTGGGCTGGGTTTCTTGTGGAAGGTTTCTTGTGGACAGGCCTCCTCCTCCTCCTCCTCCTCCTCCTCCTCCTCCTCCTCCTCCTCCTCCTCCTCCTCCTCCTCCACTGGGGGCCCAGCCCCCACGTCGGTCGGGCGGCGGAGCCGGCGGGCAGAGCAAGTTTTTCTACGCCGCCGTGCCCGCCGCGCGGCGGCGCGGCGGCGCAGAAAAGGGGCGAGGCACTGTGGGGGGGAAACACACACAAAACACAACAAAAACACCAACACACAGCCAACAAACACAAACAAAAACACGAACACACACAAACAAAAAGACAAACACGAAAAACACCAACAACACAAAAAACACAACAAACAACAAAAGCACAAACCACACACAACATAACACAAAGATCTACGTTTTTTATTGTTGCACGCCTCGCGGCAGGGCAGGGGGGGCTCAGGGGCGACGGTCCTGCGTGGCTCTGTCCGCGCGGCAGTCTGCGGGGGGAGCAGGCAGTCAGCGACTCCACTCTGCTCCACACGCGGCAGCGTGACAGCTTTTCTCGTCAAGCAAGAGTCCAAGCCAAGCTCTGCACGCACGAAATGGGTACTGAAAGAATGGGTACAATGCCCGACAGTGGATCTGGTTCATTTTGAACAGGGCTCGCTGTCCACGCTGCCGCGGCCTGTGTCCATTCGAGACAGGAGGCCGCCTGCCCAACAGCGGCCGCTGTTGGTCTGGGACAGCATTTGCTGTTGGGCATTGTACCCATTTTTTCGGTACCCATTTCGGGCGTCCAAACAAGCGATCCTCGCGGCCATGCCTGGCAGTGCCGTTGCCGGAATAGCACGTAAGGGCGTGACAGCGCAGGGGGGCGGCTGAAACTAACAGTATTCGAATTGATTCGTCACGTGGCGCCGCAAGGGGAGGGGGCGGGGGGCGAAACAGCGCATTCACTCTGGTCGCCGCGTGGCAGCGCAGAGGGGCGAACCAACTGCAAATCTACGCTACACGTCACGTGGCACCGCAAACGGGGTGGGAACATAGCATAGCCTTCCACTCCTACTCGACGCGTGGGCATGCAGGGGAGTAAAGCGATTCCGTTCTGGCGCGCAGTACCGCTCACGTGGTAACGCAGTGGGGTGGGGGGCAAACACATACAGTTTTAATCTAGACGGCACGTGGCAACCCAAAAGAGCGAAACTGCATTATCCCACTTCCTCGTCGCGTGGCAACGCAAAGGGGCTGTCAAAATACAATCGAACACGCATACGGCGAATCACCGCCCCCCTTGCCTTTTTAAGGATCGCCCATGTGGCCGAGCGTTGTGGCAAGAGCTCCGCGAATATATCCGACCATGGGTTCCCCAAACCGTTGTGGAAACCCTTAGCGAAACACTTGGGGGAGGATGGCGGGGAAGATCAGGAGGAGGAGGAGGAGGAGGAGGAGGAGGAGGAGGAGGAGGAGGAGAAGGGGGTATCTTGGTGGGAGCTTCCTGGGAGCCTCTCCGAGGTATCTTTGGGGCCTCCCTGGGCCTCTTGGGGGGCCTTTGGGAGCTTCTCGGGGGCCTCTTTGGCAGTCTTGGTGGGCTCCTGGCCCGTCTGACGCCGTCGGAAGCCTCTTGGGGCGATCTTTGTGGGCTCTTCGGCCGTCTCGGGCCGTCGGTCGGCCGAAAAGAAGCAAATGCGACAATCCTTCAAAAACCTACGCGACAAATGAATGATTTTGGCCTCTTCGGGCCCTCCTGGAGGCCCTCTTAGAGGCCTCTTGGGCAATCTTAGGGCCATCTTTGGCTGTCTTGGTGGGCTCCTGGCCCGTCTGACGCCGTCGGAAGCCGTTTTGGGGGCCTCTCTGGGCCGATTTGGGACTCTCTTGGAATGCTCCAGGCCTGTCTTGGATGCTTTCTTGGGTGTGCTAGAGGCCTCTTGGTCCGTCTTTGGGCCCTCTTGGGGCCATCTTGGGGGCCATCCTGGAGGCCTTTTGGGCGATCTTGGGGGCCTCTAGGGCCGTCTGGCAGCGTCGCCGACAAGGCGAGAACACCAAGAACTTTTATAACAACGATCGGGGAATCAATGATTCTGGTCACTTAGGGCCTTCTTGGGTCTTGGGAGGCCTCTTGGAGGCCGTCTTGGAGCGTCGTGGAGGCATCTTGGGCCGTCTTGCCCGCTGTGGCCCGAACAAGTCGTGCGAGAAGATAGCGGGCATCCCAGGGGGCCACGCGGGAAGCCTCGGAGGAAGGTGTGGCAGTTTGGGCTCCGGGCCCCTCGTGAAGACTCCTCAGGAGTGAGGACGGAGGCCCGCACGCCAGTCGCCGAAAGTAGGCACCTCTGGATCCCCAGATCCCCAATCTCCGTCAAGCGCCTCCCTACTTCAAGAGCCGAGATGTGCTTGTGTTGTTTGTTAGTTGTTCTCTGGGAGGGCCTGGGCACAAATTATTTCATCCCCCACCAAACCACCCCAACCCAACCCGAAGGTCCCGATTTGCCCTCCATTTCCAGTGTGGGGGGGTCGGGGAACATCGAAACACGCATGTGAAGCCCGCCCCCCCCCGCCCCCAAAACCCGAAGTTCGGGTCTTCGAGTCGGATCGGGGTGGTCTGGTAGGTAGTCGGTCTACTTCATCCGCCTTCCAACTGCATGCTTTGACCTACCTCTTCCGACCGACGTGCAGAGGATTAGGCGACAAGGTTCTGAGGGCACGCCCGCTCCGTGCCCCGGGGCACGGAGGCGGATGACGGGAAGCGCCTCTGGCGTGTACCGTTGGTCCAGGGGTGTGAATATTGCGAAGGCCTTACGGCCGATGCCGCCGACTCTGTAGGCAGCGACGGCGAAGACAATGGAGGCAAAGGAGTCCAAGATGCCCTCAGATGGCTCGAAGACGGCGCCGAATGCCTGCAAGGTCGTCCGAAGACAGCTCGAGCCAGGGGTGTGAGCATTCTCTCCAGCGAAGGGGTGCGGATGGCACCCTGAAGCTGCGCTGGCAGCCCTGAAGGCGCTGTCAGGGGTGGCAGGGGGAGAGGTCAGGCGCCGACTCGAGGGATCCGCGCGGACGAGCGCTGCAGCCTCCGGCCGCACCGCGGACGGTAAATGGGGGCAGCAGGTCCAGAGCGGGCGTCGCGTGGAGGCAGGGGGAGGGGAGGGGCGAGCACGCAGAAGGGGCGGCGAGGTGAGTCGCACAAGGCTTTTCGCACGTCCGCGCGGACTTCCTGGGCCAGCGTTGGGCCAATCTGGCGGTGCCTTCAGCTTCGCCCCCGGGGCGCTCCGTGCGGCTTGGGGGGGGTGTCTACCGCCGACCAAAGGAATCCGCACGGACCTCTCACATGTTTGTGGTACCGTTCATCTACAGTCGGCTCGTGTCATCAGGATGCGCGGTAATGATGCAACGGCCTTGGACGGCCATGCGAACGTTTTTCGAACGAGGTTGGCCCACGAATATGGCCAAGGAAGGACCGAGCAGGCAAGGATGCATGGTTACTTTATCAGTGAATTTAATTAGTTCTAGGGTTTCAACAAATGGTCGCAGCCACGCAGAGGGCGTGCGTAGCGACGCCCAAAATGCTCGGTCTCCAGTACTTCTACGTGGCGGCGCCCCCGCAGGCACGCAGAGGGCACGCGTGGCGACGGGGGCGTCGCCACGCAGAGCTTCTAAAGACCAGACATTTTGAAAACCAATTGTTTCCACTACTAAAGTATTCCTGGGAAGGCTGCCCGTCCTCGCTATGCAGGTTGACTTTGGGCGGCGAGGATGGGGAAGAGGAGGGTGCCGGCGGAGCACGAAGACAAGCAGCAGCAGCATGCTTTGGAGGGGGAAGGAGGAGGCGGCGGCGGAGGAGGCAGATGGGGGAGGCGGAGGGGAAGGAGGAGGAGGAGGCGGAGGGGAAGGAGGAGGAGGAGGAGGCCGAGGGGGAGGCGAAGGGGGAGGCGGAGGGGAAGGAGGAGGAGGAGGCGGAGGGGAAGGAGGAGGAGGAGGCGGAGGAGGAGGAGGAGGCCGAGGAGGAGGCGGAGGGGGAGGCGGAGGGGAAGGAGGCAAGCTAGGTGCGCTCGCGTCATATCTGACGTCCTTCCCCTCTCTCCCATCCCTTACCATGGCGCTGATTTTCTCTATCCGCGGACGCGTGTCGTAGCGGACCTGTGGCTCCGCGCGCGCGTGCGTAGTGGGTGGTGGTGCACGTGCGTGCGTGCGTGCGTGTGTGCGTGGTGGTGGGTGGTGGTGTGGTGGTGTGTGTGGTGGTTGTGGTGGTGGTGGTGGGTGGTGGTGGTGGTGG